CAGTAAGCGAAACAAACAGACAACACTTGAGACTGATCGCTTAGTCCAGGTGTCCACGATCCATTGGCAGATCGTGGCGTCATTCGCCCGGTGTCGCCTCCCTGTCTTGGTGAACGTGTATTATGAATGTGAATGTGGGCGGATCATTTAAACTTGTTCTGATACAGCTCAAGATCATTCTAAAGCTTAATTTCTGTCCTGTGAATGTGACTTCGTTAGTATTGATACCTGCTCAAATTTTGATACTAGTTTTAGTGTAAATTTGTTTCTAATTTTTGAGACTTTTGATAACCCTGGTTTAAGTGCCAGCCTGGATTAAAATTTTTTTGGCTGAAGAAATGTCGTGGAGTAAATGGAGGAAGATAAAAGTACAGCTAAATGTAATTAAATGGACACAGACAGATAGGCAGGCAGATGGTCAATGGGAGAGGTGACAGACGAGTGACCTTGTAAAATAAGAGTTCTGTCTGGGAAGGCTTTTAATATTATAGGTCCTACATTACACAGAATTGACTCTTGTGAGCTTTAAGCCATGTTATGATGTCGTTGCCTCCTAAAAAACATATCCAAAGTGGTGTTTTTTTTCATTCGCACATGTTTGAGTAATCCTTTATTATTATTAGTGTGTTTACATCTCTAAAGCTCAAAATGCTTTGTTCCACCTTGTGATGCCATGAAGTGGTAGTTTTCAAGTTAACAGCTCCTTTTACTATTAGTTCAGTACAGATTTCAGATTCCTGGGCTGAAATCATCTACTGTATTTTCTGGACTATAAGACGCACTTAAAATCCTTTAATTTTCTCAAAAAATCAACAGTGTGACTTATAATCTCGTGCCCTTATGTATTAATTCTGGTTGTGCTTACTGACCTTGAACCAATTTTCACATATAAGTCGTGTGCTTTAGTCCGACAGAAGCTGAACCGCATGTGCAGCACAAGGTTGGAAATAGAACACTGGAATACTACTTTGAACTAGGAAGCATTTGAAATACCAGCTGTTTTTTCAGTGCTTATAGTTTATGCAAATTAGCCATGTGGTTTTAAGTTTTGTTTCTGTAAAACGTAAACAAATAAGTGCAAAGCTGCTTTAAACACATTATTACTCAATAGGGGTGTGACGATATCTAAGTCTCACAATACAATATCGTCATGGCATGAACTTCACGGTACGTTATTCATTGTGCTATTTTGGGAAAGCTCACGACATGGTGGGGAAGCTCACGATTAGGGATGTAACAATATCAAAATTTCTCGGTACGATATTTTCATGATAGACATCTCACGGTATGATATTTATTGCGATATTATGTGGAGAAAACTGTTAATATGCTACTTTTTCTTAAAATGCCTTGACAAGTCTTAATCCAAAAAAACTAAAACTTAAAAGTGCTTAGAACTGTTATTTCTTCTTGTAGTCTGCACTGAAATGGAGCAAAGGATCATGGTCTATGTAGTCTTTTCTTAGCTATTGCTGCACCATAACTCTTAATTTAAGCAAAGAGACTTGTAATTCAATATATTGTGATGATCCATGATATTATTGTGAGAATTTTGACGATACATTCTCACGATATTTTGGTTATTGTTACATCCCTATTACTCAGTGTATATTTGAGTCCTTGTAGGAAATAAAAAAAACAAAACAACAAAACTTAAGACCACATAGACTAGTATATGCCCATGTACCACTATAGAACTTACCTGGACCATTGAGGGATTACACAGATATAAGGCCACATGGTAATATAAAAGAAAGTACTATTTAAAGTATGATTTAATGTTGAAAATTATGTACTATTGTCTAAATAAAAGTGTTTTATATTATCATCACGGCATCAGAATCGGTATTGAGTGTCGATTCTATTCCTTAGTGTCGAAATCAAGTTTGAAATATTAGTATAGCGACACTAATTTCAACACAAAAGAATGATTTGTACGACCAGCTTTACTCAGCTGATACTGTAATCAACTTCGCCTGTTGTTTCTCAACACTTAGTGACCAGTGTCCCATTTTTTTTGTACCACATCTGCTTCTCATCTCTCCACCTCCTTGGCCCAAAGACACAGAACGCAACCGACCACCGCAACTCCCTCCTCCCTCCCTCCTCTCCTCTCCCTCCTCTTCCTCCCCCTCTATCTCTCCATCATCAGGGATTTTCGGCGTCCCTCTACTGCCAAGTGCGTTTGATCTCCCCTAACCATTCACTTTCGCAATGCCTCGAAACCTCCTTTTATTTTTGCCTGCACCCATCCCTCCCTTGTCAGCTCATTGAAAAGCTAAGGAGGCGCTCTATTCTTCAGATACTGTGTCTCTTTTACACTTTGGCAGCTCATACCTCTATCCGAGCTTTCTCTTTTTCTCTCGGGTCGCCACGGTAACAGCTCCAAGAATGTCTAGTGTAGTCTTGTGTGTTTGGCGAGGTAACCAATTAGGATGCTTGATGTTATCGTGTAGCTACCAGTCAGGATTAACTATGTAAAGAGCATGAGTAAACGAGATAACGCTGATGTCCGTATGGTGCTTTTTCCAATGAGTCAGCCCCGTGTCTGTACTTGTTGATTTTCTGTTGGCGAGTAGAGATATATTTAAGGCTGCGTTACTCCCAAAAAATCCTTCCGTAGTAGTTCCAATTTCAGATGTTCTCGGAAATAACAATATTCATAAACCAATTCACGACCACTAATCACTCTACAGTATCGTGCAGTGTCCGAACAAAATATTGTTTGATTTGTCGGAATTTTCTTTCTCCAGATGTACTATCAATCAGATTTTTTGCAGAACTCTGTAATGAACAAGTACAAATCCAGTTAGTGTTACTTGAAAGAGACTATAACACTAATTCATTTCTTAGTTACATAATCTTTGTATTTTTGAAATTGCAGGTTTGTGGGGTTTTATTGCTCAATAATTAGGGCTGGGTATCATAAAGTTGCCAGTACCTCGATACAGTGCTCTTTTGATTTTTTATACGATATATTTCAAATTGATTCAATACAGTTCAGTAAAAATAATGGCTAAATCATGGCTCTGATACTAAAAGCCTTTGTTAAACCACTTCTTGTGCAGATGAAATGAAACACAAACATTTTAATCATCAAAACAGTGAAAATGTCAAATGTGTTGCATAAACAAGTTCCCTTCCTCTAAACAAGCAACAAAACTGTAGCTGTAACACAATAATTTAGTAAAATACACCAAAAAATACTCTTGGCAGTATATCGTTATAACAGCCCACGATATCGATACTGTATCATCACATTAAACCATACGATACATCGATATTTCAGTATTTTTGCACACCCCTATCAATAATACCTTGAAAAACATGCATTCTTACTGGAAACGGGGTTGCCTCTCCAGAGATCTAGCCTGTAATTTATTCCAGTGGCATCACCTGCTTATGTCAATGCAGTTGGATGTAAGTTTAATGTCATACTGTGCAACATTCCAGGCACAGCAGTGTATACAAGCAGATGGATGACTGTGAGCACAACTAAGTCTTCCCATTCTGCAAATTAAGTGAGCTGTGTTTTATTGGTTAAACGCTGAGATATAAAATGTATCTCAGATAGGCGCTATAAGCAACACTTGTTCCATGGTGACAAGAAGTGTGGATCAATGAATCCTTAGGAACCTCAAACTGTATACCGTATTTTTCAGAATATTAGTCGCTCTGGAGTATAAGTCTCACCAGCCAAAAAATGCATAATGAAGAAGAAAAAACATATGTAAGTCACACTGAACTATAAGTTGCACTTTTTGGGAGAAATTTATTTTATAAAATCTGAGATCAAGAACTGACATTTCATCTTAAAATGCAAGTTATAGTAATAACAATAGAATAGAAAACAACAGGCTGTTAATGTTAACCCTCTCCAGGCAGGTGTTGCAGATTTGCAACAGCTAAATGCCAATTACCTACTTACTCCAAATCCATATTTTATGAGCGTTTTTTACTCAGGAGCCTTTTTTCCCCATCCATGCTGATAAATGTGGACGATGCAGACTGTGCAAGAATGGCTACACACAAAAGGCCTGCCAGAAGTGCAAAGTACTTTTGTTGTTTACAAAGGATAAAAATTGTTTCTTGGAGTACCACACGAAAAAGTGATGTTGTTCTGCCACTGTAAAGCTGTTACACTGTGCTTTATGTTTTCATTGTTATGAAAAGTGGTATACACATAAAGTTAGCGTTCATATCATTTTCAGTCTTCAGTGTTAATTTACCACACCGGGCCAATGCTGCAAATCTGCAACATCTCTGAACGCATTGGATGTGAAGGTCTCTCTCAAAAAAAAGTCAGGATTGAATATTACTACCCCATAAGATAATTTTCCCCAAATACCAGATTTTTTCCTGTTACTAAAATTTAATTTGAGCCTGAGAGGGTTAATATTGCCGCTTGATCTCACTCCAAATCACTAAATCCATTGAATTCTTCATCCTCTGTGTCACTTCTGAGCAACTCTGCAACCTCCAGTTCCAGTTAGAATTATTCAGGCCTTTCTGATGGTTTCGGTTCTCTTTATGTTTGCATAAATTTTAAAATTTTTCAGCAGTACAGAAGTAATGGTGCGATCAACTGACATGATACGAACAGGACAGCTGCTCTTTCTGCAGGAGACATGCGCAGTAGAGCCAAGTGACAGTGGAACAGAAGTAGTAGTAGTAGTAGCAGCAGATACTGACACACAAGCCTAGAGCCTCTCACGGCTGTCATAGTGAAAATTTTAATATGTAAGTCACACTGGAGTATAAGTCACAGCACCATCCAAACCATGAAAAAAAGTGTGACTTATACAGAAAGAAAAATACAGTATATACATTTTCAAGTAGGAAGTTGTGAACTAAATAAATATTAATGTCTATCATCCTATTGCACCTCTCTCAGATGTCCTTTTAAATAGCATCCATCATACTTCCTCTTCTGGGAAACCCAATCCAATCACCATTTTTGCATTTACCGTAACAGTAAAACCTTTTTTTTTTTCCTACAGAAATTCCGTCGGAGAGTTCAGGAGTCCACCCAAGTCTTGAGAGAGCTGGAGATTTCGTTAAGGACCAATCATATAGGGTGAGTCACATACGGGGAATTGAATTGAATCGTACAAAACATGGTGAGATTACAGACGGGGGGAAAAGTCAGACATTCCAGACACCCAGACACTAACTAGCACCCTCCCCTGTTCACCCAGACCCTAATATTACACAGAGCTTTGGGGCTGTGGAAAAACATGAATTCATTGATTGTTTGGGGCTGACACATGGACACTGTCTCAGAGGGAAAGGCTTGTCACTGATGTAAAACTCATTAAAGGCGCATTTTGTAACTTTTCTGGTGGACTTCATGGACATTTTATTGCTTTGTCTGGAATGTTTCACAGTATGGTCAGATCTGTGGAGTGGCAACCCTGCTCACAGTCAGAATGCCTGTTTTTCTAGGCATTTTTGTAATTGAAGTACAGCTATTTAAAGTCATACTGTGGAATATTCCAAGCAGAGCAATGACAGATCCATAGAAACAAGCAGGAGATGGACCCCCAACCTAAAAGTTACATAGTGCACCTTTAAGTTCAGAATATTGTCCACTATTGTCCAGGAGTGGATGAAATTTAAACATGAGTTCAACTAAATAAAGTAGTTTTTTTTCATATCACAATTTTCTTAGAGCCAGATTATGATTTCGATACCATCATGGTTATTGTTTTCTCAGTATCTTTAACAAGATATGATTCTCCCATTTTGACTTAATTTGGTGGGATAATACATGTTGTAAATATAAATTATTCAGTTATGATTAATTATAAATTACATTGGACAGTTCAGACATACTGATGATGTAACACAAGGGAGTATTCTATCCAAAAGTTCAGCACAATTTACACTTAAACACATTTTTCTTATAGTTTAAACATGACTTCAACAAAATAAAGTTTTTTTTATATATATATATATATATATATATATTTACATTTGTCTAGGAGTGGATAATAGGCAGAAAAATTCATATCACAATTTTCTTAGAGCAAGATTACGATTTCGATATCATCATGGTTAAGGTTTTCTTAGTATTTATATAGTTTTTAAAAAGGTCATATTTAAGATTTTTGCAAAAACATTCAGCACAACATTTTCACAATTTGGCAATTTTTTTGGTTTAAAATTCTCATAACTGTTACACAGCAAAACTCCTCTAATATACACTGAAATTATTATCTGACAAATACAAATATATATATAAAAAACAACAACACACCTTTCTTTTGTTCAAATCATGTTTAACGATCAGAAAAACGTGTTTCTTAAGTGTAAATTGTGCAGAACTTTTGGGTAGAATTCTCCCATCAGTGTCTGAACTCTTCACTTACTGTAATTTTCAATATATTTTTCAACTTTTTCTCGCAATTATCTTCTTGATTTGTGTAAAGCTCTCATTTATATTTACAACATGTATTATCCCACCAAATGAAATCAAAATTGAGAATCATAAATATCCCCTAAAAATGTTCTAAATGTACAATATTGTAAAAAATCACAACCTGCAGTAAATAAATAACAGAATGTAACACTTAAGGAGGTAGTTTATGTCTAAAATAAGTCATATAAGTTTATCATAGTCATATAATTCGTAAATCAGCCTTCTACAAAGCAAATCTGATCTATACTATACAAAAATGACAGAAATTTTCCCACTGGGACAAAAGAAAAAGCCCGCAAGATAAGTATTGACCACCAAAATGTAAGTCAATTTAATATTTATCGTAACAGCCTTATATGATCCACAAATCCCTATCATTATATGTTGTAAGGATTAAATGCTCCATAAATTTGCCATATTAAGTTTATAGCTCAATCTTTTCACAACAACAATCATTTCTTTGAGGTTGAATAATGGCACCACGTTTTGAAGCTATTGAGAAAAACATTTGTTTATTTACTGGCAGAGAAGACGCTGAACTTTGTGCCATTTTTTTGTTTCATGTGGATTGGCAAATCTGCAATCTGACAGTTTAAAGGCATCCACAGAAGTCTGAGCTGTCATTTATAGCTCAGTTTTAAATTAAAGATTATTTCATGTGAACACAAACCTATGATGGATAAGGCTGCTTAAATTATCCAGTGGGTCTTCCAGCTGTCTATAGCCGGTGTTAAAAAGGTTATAGCTATGAATGCAAGCTGCCTCAATATGGTTACAGTCTGAGGGTCTAAATTTATATCGGAATTGTTTAAATATCTGACAATAATTGAGCACAAATGAATACGTCTCGGGGGTTTGGACACATGATACATGATAGCGGCTCTATTCCTAGTTCCCTGATAATACACTGAATGTCTCTTCACTCTTCACCCCATTACCGCTCTCATCAGAACAATTTATCAGTGTCACACAGTTTGACCGTGGCGATTTATTACTGGCATAGAAAACAGCCAACAAATCATGTGTATAATGCAAATGTAATGTAGACAATAGTGTTTTCTGTTTGAGAGAAGAACACAGCCTAAATATGCAGGGTTTGTGTGTTAAACATGTCTAAATGAAACAAAACACAACTCTGGATATGTTTTTGATGAGGAAACATCATTCTAAATAAATCAGAAAAAGTGTAATATAAGTCCTTTAACCGTGTTTTAGTGAAATGAGTAGTCCAACCTGACATAGGCACTTGAAAAATGTGTTATTGTGACAGGACTTGGATCATATGGTTGGATACTTCATGATAGTCTGACCTCTGATGCTGGAATGAACAATGAACCTTTTCCCAGATTCTCAACAGGCAAACACACACACGTACACGTACACACGTACACGTACACACTATAATGTAATTCATTGCATTTGTGGTTAACAAGTCTCTACCTGCTGCTTCTTATCGATTCACTGTTTCACTTCGAGCCTCCAGGAAAGATCAATATCTCTTTAGGAACGCCACGCTGTTTCAAGAATCTGGTCTGTCTAGTTCGATATTTTTGCATGATTACATTAAGGCTGGGAATCACAGGGTCCCTCATGATTCGATATGATACTCGATACATGGCTCACGATACAATATTATCATGACATAGTACAGGAGAATTTAATTGATATATTTTAGATGATACTCTGTGAAATTTTGCTGTTTATTAAGGACTTTAGTACATTTTTGCAACAATATTTCTTTGTTAAACCACTACCCGTGTAAAGTGAATATTAATTTAAATGTTTAATCATCAAAAAAGTTAGTGTGTCAAGTTTCCTTCCACAAAATGTGCAACAAAACTACAGTGCGGTCACAAAAAATGGCTTAAAGATGCCAAAAAATACTCTTGGATATATGTCAATACAGCAGCCTATGATAACGATACTGTATCACCAAATTTAGTATCACGATATATCAATATTTTGATATATATTTTGATACATGGCTAATTCGTGAGCCTGGTGCATTGTGGGATGTGTAGTAAGTCTAGATACACTGCCAAAACAGCTCAAGAGGCCAAGTCCACACACTGTTTTTCTCTTTCCTACTCTATTAAAAGTCCTATTTGTCAAACCTTCAGCAGCTCTCGAGTTTCTGTCTGACATGCGCGTTTACATAGTCTGGACTTTAAACCAAATCAAATGAAACCAGAGATGCCCCCTGTCTGGTGCAGCACTTAAAGAGCTAATGAAACCTACCAAGAGTCAGTTTGTGATGAAGACGTGGGCAAAACATTATCAACAATGTCACTGCAGAAGTACAATCAAGGCAATATGGCTAAATCAATGCTACATATTCAATTTATTACTGTATATTTTATGTTACTGTTGCACTAAGTCTGTATACTAGTATTGTTACACAGAAAAAAGTCTACATTTTCAATTAGACTAGCACTGCTCTTGATAATGGTAATGCTACATCTGTCTGCAAAGTTAAACATCTTCTATTCCTACTACTACTCTTCTTGCAACTATTGACTCTAAAAGCCACAATTACTATTATTAGTACTGCTACTTAGGGTAGTCAGAAGTATCGAAGATCAGATACTAATTGATACTAAAACTAGTGTTGAAACTAGATACTCATTTGAGCTGGTATCGATATTAAAAAAGTTACAATCACAGGACAGAAATGAATGTTTCCTGAATAGCTTTAGAATGATCTTATTATTTATTGCTGAAAATGTCCTACTGTCTAAAGAAATGACTTATTGGAATCTGTATTGAGTATTCCTTAGTATCAAGTTTGCGTTTCACATGATAATATCGTGAGAATACTTCTATTAAGACCATGACTTCTCATACAACTACTAACACTATTACTGCTATTATACTTACGTACAGTATATATCTCATTTTAAAAGTCTCCATTAAAGTCTGTTACTTTTAAAATAGTTGATAATTGATTTTTTGGACTGGCATCATGGCGGGGGTGTATAATTCATTTCTACTGCCAGAATATTCAGCAGTTTCCATGGTGACAAAATGCACAAAATAGCAAACATAGACACAAAGTTTAAAGATCGTCTGAAAACTCAAGCAAAAACGAAACAAAATGGATTTAAACAGCACATTTTCAGGTGCCTGTGATCAATACGAGTGTTTGTGGTACTTTTTAAGAGTTTGATTTTCAACAAAAACAGTGAGAGTGACTAATGCTAGTTATCTTGTGACTAATTTTATGTGTGAGAGAGTTGTTTAACGACACAAACGATCTCACCTGTTAGCTCCAACTTAGTTCAGAATGCAGGGCTTAAGGCTCAATTTGGATTTTTTTGTGTACTCTGATTTTTTGTGAGGTTGTTCACATTTCCAATTAAATGTGACTTGTATGTGATCTCCAACGTGAACTTTAAATGCCCCAAAATGGTCCCACATGCGAGAGTTCTCAGTGTTTACAGAAGTAAACACTGGGCTTGTCTCCTAAAATATGGCTCAGTTTTTTGTAAAATGAACAGGTTACATGTCCACAGCCACTTCGTTTGTTTGAGTCTTTAGCCTCCTTGTATTTGGCTCACATGCTCTTTATTTTTTGTTGATATTGGAGCCAGGACTGTCTGTAGCCAGTTCTGATAAGACCCCACCAATTTGGTCTTAAAACGGTGATCTCCCAAGTA